GAAAAGAAGTTGTTAGAACATCGTTGCTTCAGACTGCAGGAAAACGTCAAAACTGAGTCCTTGATGCTGCCAAGTCCTCATTTATAGGCAGAGTGCAGGTGTGTGTCTGTATCTGGTTTAAAATGTTTGTTCTTCATTCAATGGGTAGAAAATCCAGAAATTTTACTCAAGTAAGAGCAGAAATACTTCATAATAAAATTACAGAAGTAAAAATAAAAAAAATAGCTATTTAAGAAATTACTCGGGTAAGAGTAAAAAAAAGTATCTGGAGTAACTCCAGTACAGATCAAAACATTGATAACTTAATAGTTAAAAATTACATTATCTGATGGACCAAAATATAAAGTTATGTGGAGATTCTAAATATCAAAATGGAAGTAATTCATATAAATAACACAATTTCAAAATAACAAATCAGGCAAAAGAAAAAAAAAATCCAAATTAATTTCTTTCATGAAGCTTTAGTAAAAACTGCAGATATTCAGTGAAGTTCCTCACAGAAGAGTAGCAATACTTTAAAGTAAAATTACTCAAGTAAAAGTATAAAATACAGTGCAGTTAAAATACTCTGTTACTACCCAACTATCACACATTAACTGATTCTGCTTTAGCTGAACAACAGATGCTAACAGATATTTCTGAAAGTCCATAATGGCTAAATGTTTTGGGGCTTGGGGTCAGATGATATTCAGGAAGTTGAAATAGTTGAACTTGAAACCATAAATAGAAATTGTTTGTAGATGTGACGTCCCCATCTAGTGGCGAAACAGAGACGAGCATGATGAGGATTAAAGCAGACTGGGAGTTTGTGTGTGGCGCCGGTTATCAGCATGACAAGAGACTCGGTGACTTGTTGGTGATGGATGCACTCCAATCACACACGCACACACACACACACCCACACACGCATACACACACACACACACACACACACACACACACACACACACACACACACACACACGCACAAACACACATACACACACACACTGTAAGGCCTGTTAAATCAGTGGAGAAGATCACAGCAGCTGGAGGAGTAGGACTCTCAGGTTTCTTCATAAACGCGTTCACAGATGCACCTTAAATACGTCCATACCCGTCTCGTATTCCTTGCGAGCGCTCTGGCTGTTTTGGGAAGTGATGTTAATGTTTGTGAGTGTGTGAATTTATCGACACCTTGCTGGGAACACCGGTGGTGAAGATGATGAAATGATCTTCACCAAAAGAACTGCGTTGGAACCGAGAGTTGCGATGAGCTTCGTGTCAGATGTAGTTGCAGAAATGCAGCAAAAGGATAATGAGGGTATCTAATTAGTTGCCGTGGTAACCACATCTTTAGTAAGACTCCACCAAAGGATCTCAAACCTCTCCAGGTTCAGCTGAGTTGTTTTGTCTTCTGGTGTTTATCCACATTCTCCTGAAGATGTTGTTTGGTTTGCTGGGTGTAAAGGTCTGACCTCCTCAGAGAAACGACTAAAGGTCGTGACCCCGTGGTTTATTAGTGGTACAACGTGGCTCCTCCAGACGGCTTCCCGAGTCGGGTCAGATCCAGGATTCCTACCAGGCTTTTCTGCTCATCTGGATGAATCAGTTCAACTCTGGAGATGAAGATGTGTTGCAACATTTTGAGTCATAATTTTTGCATCTAAAACTGTTTTTAGACATTGTTTTAAAAACCTGTCTCTAAAAACCATTTGCAAATACAGAAACCTGAGGCTGAGTTCATGAATAAGTAGGAAAAAATGCTAAATTTAATCACATTGTGTGTTTCTGGGTTTTATTTCTGGTAAAGTTGTTAAAAACTGCAACAAATAATTTTGAAGGGACAGCATTATGTATTTTCAAAAGTATATGGAGCCATTTTATAGCATAATGAATCATCCCAGTGGGATTTCTGTCCTCATATCTCCACAAACAAACTGTACCAAGGGGGAAGAGAACAGAGTTTATTTCAAATGGACTAAAGAGCTGCTGATTGGGAATTTAGCTCTCTGAAGTCCTTGGACTGACTTGGCTTGGACTGACGAGGGTTGAAGGATTTTCATCAGAAAATATGTGAAGGAATATTTCACACATCTGTGTAACTCAGACATTAAGCTCAGTTTAGTTTGAGGCTTCAGAGAAAGCATCAACAGATTAATCTGAGGACAGAGGGGAAGGAGGGAGGAACGGTGAAGAGGTCAGAGGAGGAGGAGGTTAGCGGCTGATCAGAGGGAGGTGAGGAGGAGCTGAAAGACAGCCATGTAGGAACACATGAACTGTGTGTGTGTGTTGGAATGAGCTGGGTCATCGTCCTCCTTGTAATTTTACACCAGAAAGTAAAACTGATGACTCCCAACAGCTGCTGGTGCCATGGAGACGAGAGGGCGGAGTAAAACCTGGAAATGAGAAGGAAACCAGAGACAGGGGCCCGAGTGTGTGAGATTTATACCGACTGAATCTGCCTCCACGATTACAGTTCTGCTCATCACAACACAACAATTTATGATCAGACGCCCATCATCACACACTCCACAGACCCAGATCTGCTCACCTTAACTGCTTCCACCTTCAGGAACCAATGACGTTCAGTTCACATCTTCTAGAAGTCACATCTGTAATGGAGGTCTTGAACACGGCTCATTCAGATTCCATGTTCTCTAATGAACGGAGGCCACCAACCTGTGATCACCGAACAGCTTTCGTACAAGTATCTGAGATGTAATGCAACAAATCTGATGATACAGTTAAAAATCCATCATCAACTTTTGGTCCAACGTGGCTTGGTACTAGTCCTCCCACTCCTACTCCTGGTTATAAAATGCCTGGTGCCACTGAACCGAGCTTTGGAGTAGAAGAGAACCCATCTTGACAAGTTTGGTTCCAGAGCTGACGATGCATATGGAAAGGAACCCAACTATACCAAGCTGGTATATCTCATCCTTTCAAGCAAATTCAATCTTCTTACTCATGGTAGGTTGTTCAAGGATCCATCCTCAGTGGAGAGGTCAGATAAAGAAAGATTTGAAGACTTTGTGATTGCTCAACTTCATCCAGATTGGGACGACTGGGACACCCTCCTGAAGGCAGGCATGGGGAAGGAGCTTGCTTGTTGATGAGATCTTGGCTCCAGGGGTTCAGAAGGGCCAATTTATAAAAAGCTTCAGGAAGCCATGTCCATGTGGGTCCAGTACCTAAGGGAGCAATGGGATTTCAAGGGGCAGATGAGTTCAGGGACCTGGATGTGCCAATTCCCTCATCATCATTTGGGTCTAGAGACATGAAATATCACCTCACTAGTGGGTTAGGATCATTGCAGTCCTCAAAATCATTCACCACATTAAGGTAGAGGGGTTTATTCACTGTGTCACGCACTGGTAACCTGCTTAGGTTGAATCTGGTCTTCACCATATTGACATACACTGCAAATAAGTTTTCTTTGATAATAATTCTGCTTGGCAGTAAAGGTCCATGCAGTTTATGGTGAGTTGATTCTGATCAGAGGCTGTTAATGGGAGAATACACAACAGGAAGGTTCATTGTTGGTGAACATCATCTGTTGCAGATCAGAATAACTGAAACTCTGTTTCCTTGAACGTTTGACCCCGCTGTCATTTCCTCCACATCCGGCTTCAAAATCAAAATAACTAATCCTCACTGTGACTGCTAGCACAGGCAAAAAGAGCTTTTATATTCACAAATGAAATAAAATTGGTTATCAAGTATCATCAAGAAAGGAAAAGTCTGGGAGAGGTCAAACAAATCAGATTAAAGCAAAAAGAAGAAACCTTTAGATTTAAAGGGGCAGAGATAGAGACGGTCAGTCAGATGGACACATCCAGAAACAGGCAGATCCAGACAGAACCATGGTTACCAGGAAGAGAGAAACATTGTTTCATGAACTCTGGAGGAGTAACAAGGAGAGAGGAGCAGTTCTAGTGAGATCAAACCAGCTGAGAACGGCCCGCCTGTAAGTCTGATATTAACAAATATCTAAAGAAACACATGAGCTGATGAAGGACAGTAAAAAACTTCATGTGGAATAGCAGTACTCTATTCTCCTGTCAGGAAGATTTTCCTGATCGGTTCTGAGCACAGCAAGTTAAACATGTTCAGAACTTTACCTGTCACTTTTCTTATGCAGATTATTTTTCTGACATATTTTTTTCAGAAAACCAAACCTCTCCAAAGTGAAGGCCATTGACTCATTGACACAACGAGTCAATGTGAAGAGGATGCGTAAATTAAACTTTTGATCGACAGCAGAAGCTTCCAGACCTTAATGGGCCAATGAAAGTGGAGACTAAATATTAAGTGTGGAGTGGTTGTTCAGCTGGAGATAATATGAGAAACACCTGGAGTTTTCTATGTGGTTGATTTATTGCTAGCTTATCTTTCAAAAGCAGCAACATCCTGAGAACTGACCAGAACCAGTATGACCACAACAGAACAACCAACCCTGAATTGGACTGGCTTCACTTGAACTGATCTGACCAATACAAGACATGCCTGACTACACCAGACCTGGACTGGACTTACCACACCAGAACTGGACTGACCACCCCAGATGTTGTTCATCCATATTGCAGCTAGTCCGACCACACCAGGACTGGACCGACTACACAAGAACGAAACCGACCACACCAGAACTGTTCCAACCACATCAGAACTTAGCCGATCAAAGCAAAACTGAACCAATAACACCAACACTCAGCTGTCACTGGAAAACTGGTCTGACTGAACGAGAACTGGAATTCCCACTCCAAAACTGGAACAACCACTCAACAGATCTACAATGAACTGGATGTGTTACAGTCATGAGATCAGATGAATCAGGTGTTTGCTGTAATCTGGGATTCAGGTGACCAAGGATCGCAGTTGGCTTCTTGTTTTGATCAAAGCATCTCTTCCTATTGGCTGCTGGAGATTTGCTTACTTCCTGTTTTTATATGTTTTTTCTTTTCTTTGTTGAATTGTATGGAAAGATATTTTAGACCTTTTGTCTTCCTTTCATCAGGAGGCGGTTGCTAGGCAGCACAGAAGTTTGGGTGGTTCTCCAAAATGTCAATATGGCCCCTCTGCTGCCCCCTGTTGGTGCGGAGGTGTTTAGACGCTTCACACCAGCCTCACTGGAGGAAATTCAGCGAAGGCATGAAGCTGAAGAGAAGGAGCAGCAAATCAGAAAGGAGCAGAACATTGAGGTATTGATAGCCTATTAGCTGTTAGTAACAAAATCAATCAGTACGGCAATAACCAACCCTGATCTGATTGGTTATCCTCTTGCAGATAGCAGAGGAGGATCTTCCTAAACCAGCAAGTGACCTGGAAGCTGGGAAGCCCCTCCCCTTTATTTATGGAGACCCGCCCGCTGAGTTTCTCAACATCCCATTGGAGGAGCTGGATCCCTTCTACCAATCACAAAAGGTTTCACTCTCCACTGAAATTTGACTGTGCAACCTTCTTATCAGTAAATGTCACACTAAATTGATCAATTTTCCATCAACAAAGTGAACTTCCAATTATCTGTTGTTTATTAGGTCTTTATTTGACGTCAGATATTTTTTTACATTGATGTTCAGTCTTGGTTAAAGACTGAGATAGAAAAATATCAGGAAGTTCAGTTCAAACTCAATTCGTGTGATTTTAAAGCTTTAGATATCAAACATAAAAACTAACTGGAATAACTGACTTTTGGTTTCTACAAATGAAAGTTCTCATTTGAATTAAGATGTATAAAAATCAAACTGAAGGTAATAAACTTATCTGAGAAAATCAGTTTGACTCCATTCTTTCTATTTTCCCTGTTTCTTTGCAGACCTTCATCGTTCTCAGTAAGGGAAATGTCATCTACAGGTTCAACGCTGAACCAGCCTGTTACCTGTTGAGTCCCTTCAGCCCTCTGAGGATCTTCTCCATCAGGATCCTCATCCATTCATATCCTCTATCACATCACTCTGCTTTCTAAAGCTTTTCTTTAGAAACCAAAGGTCTTGAAAACATCTGGACTAAGACAGCAGTTTCTTCTGATTTCACAGCTCCTGATCGTAGTTGCATCCTTTTAAAATCCACAGTGTGCTGGAAGGTTACCCCAGAGTGGTAATTTCCTGTTTGAAACTGAGGAACCACTTTCATCAGGGGCCAAAATTGTGCTAAACAAGAGTCAGTGTTGCATCTAGTCTGAGTTTTAAACCGTCTACAGCTGCATTCCTATGATAAATGTGTGCAAAAGTTCATTCATATTCCCCGAATATAGGAAAAACAAAATTTGCAATTGTGGCGTTTCCATTATATCGGACATGAATGAGTTTGTGCTCGTCATAAATCATTAAAAACGTACTGTTTTGTTTTCCTTAAAACTAAAACTTTATTCAGCTTGTTCATCATGGTGACAATCCTGACCAACTGTGTGTTCATGACCATGAGCGATCCTCCACCGTGGAGCAAGACAGTGGAGTAAGCACGCACACACACACACACACACACACACACACACACACACACACACACTGACTTAATTTATGGAAAACCGTTTTGTGTCACTGGCGAAACAATAAAAAACATAAGGTGTCACAATTTTGACTTTCACCTCAAAAATCCATTATTAAAAAATGTCAAAAACTTATCCTCAACATACAAACTCAAAATTAAGTGTCAAGTGATTCAGTGTATCATCTTGCAAAGCCACAACTGTTGAAAACAAAGTAAGAGTTCTGACTTATAATCACCAATTTGAGAATCAATCCTAAGTGATAATGGCATTGATCCTTTTTAGTCAAATCCAACCTTGAGATGCAAAGTAAAAGTTATGAGATTCAATTTTGTGGTTAAGAAAAACAAATCAAAATTGAGAAAATAAAAAGCACTCTGAAACTTATATTTGTGACATACTGTTTCTTTCTTGCTTCCTGCCTTCCAAAATGGCTGACCTTTGGTAATTTGATAGTGATATTGTGCAGAATTTTTTCACAGTGTGAAAAGGGTTGGAAAAAATACATAATTTTTGCCCAGATTTTCAGTTCAGAAGAACATGTAAATAGGTAAGGTAAGGTAATTTTATTTAAATGGCACATTTTCAGCAACAAGGCAGTTCTAAGTGTCTTGCATGAATTGGAATGAAATACAAACAAAACCAAAGAAAGACAAAAAGGTAAAAGTATAAAACTACATATTGGTTCCCCATGTTTAACAACATGCTCAGTATGTTGGGTTCTTGACTCAAATATGTCTTCCTGTTGTTGCACAGATACGTATTCACGGGCATCTACACGTTTGAGGCAACCATCAAAGTTTTATCCAGAGGGTTCTGCGTAGGAGACTTCACCTTCCTGAGAGATCCGTGGAACTGGCTGGACTTCATGGTCATCAGCATGGCGTAATAATAAAAAACTTCCTGGAGAGATTGTATTTCATCAAACTTAGATTTGCTGAAATGAACTTTCCTCTGAGATGTCTTCAAATGAAGATAAATGTGAGGATAATGAGGAATGTCTCCGTTTTACAGATACCTGACAGAGTTTGTTGACTTGGGAAACGTATCGGCACTGAGGACGTTCAGAGTGCTTCGAGCCCTGAAAACCATCACAGTAATCCCTGGTATGTCCGTTTCATTGCTGAAACGAGCATGGTGGTTGGAGTTGTGATATTTTTGGGACTTTTAGAACTTACGAGAAACTTGACAAACCAGATAAAATATAACTTCATATCTATATCATGTGTTCTGATATGGATAATACAGCAGTCTAACATTATATTTGGACTGAAAGAGAAACTGATATTTTCTGTAGGTTAAAAATTAAAAAAAATGGACAGTTTTCTTCTAGGAACCCTTGGACCCCAACTGTCTTCATGATATTCAGTGACCCAGACTAAGAAACCATTTTGAGGTTCGTGAAGACAAAGAAACCCATCAAACAGTTCAGAAAAGAAGTTGTGGGGATGTTTATAGCAAGGTTAGGTCCTACAGCATCCTGAGGTTTGAACATGTCACAGAGCTCTGTTCAAGCCATCATCTGAACATGGATGGACCAACCTGCCAAAACATGGACATCCACCTAAACTGTCAGAGAGTAGAGCACTGATTGGAGATATATGGCAACTTTGAAGGAACTGCAGAGATCCAAAGCTCAGGTGGGGCAATCTGCCCAAGGAAGAATGAACAGCCATAGACTCCAAACAACGTAGAGAAAACAACAAAGTGAAAGACTGTAATGGATTATAATGCAAATGTGGACAGTAGTGTGTAAAAGTAGCAAACTGAGGAAAATGGGTCAGTATGTCCTAAGCCTAAGCCTATAGCAGCTGCTGTTTTATAACCTCAATCAGTCTAACTATAAACAGCTTTATGAAAAGGGAAAGTTTTAAGCCTTGTCTTAACAGTAGACAGGACGTCTGCCTCATGGACAGAAACTGGGAGCTGGTTTCACAGGAGAGCAATCTTGATAATTCAATAATTAAATTGTAGATAAATAATTGTGACACTGGTAGTTAAAGCTGACAGTAACTCTGATATTTCCTTTGCCACATTCTCTGCAGGCTTAAAGACGATTGTCGGAGCGCTCATCCAATCAGTGAAGAAGCTGCGTGATGCCATGATTCTGACTGTCTTTTGCCTCAGTGTCTTTGCTCTGATTGGTCTTCAGCTATTCATGGGAAACCTCAGACAAAAATGCGTACTGATCCCACCGCTATTACGCAACGACACATCAGAGGGAGCTTTCAACATCAGTTTCCACGAAAACAACAGCAGTGACTTTGATTTCTACACACACATTAACAACCCAGGTAGCATGTTAAGTATTTTACCTCACAAATCATAATCATCCACATGCTCAGATGCAAACATCAACCTGTCCTTGTGTCTCACAGACAATTATTACCACCTACCTGGTCAACTTGATGCTCTGCTGTGTGGAAACAGCTCTGATTCAGGGTAGCTTTAAGTAAATATTACTATTACTATTAACATTATTGATTATGGTGATAATGATGATGATGATGGTGTATCCAGGACCTGTCCAGATGGATACATGTGTCTGAAGGCAGGGAGAAACCCAAACTATGGGTATACCAGCTACGACAGTTTTGGTTGGGCGTTTCTGTCTCTGTTCAGACTCATGACCCAGGACTTCTGGGAAAACCTCTTCCACCTGGTCAGTACCCTACAGCTCCCTAATGCTGAGGCTAGTCCTAGCATCATCTCACCTCTGTTTATCTGTGTAGACGCTGCGAGCTGCAGGTAAAACCTACATGATCTTCTTCGTGGTCATCATCTTCCTTGGTTCCTTCTACCTCATTAATCTCATCCTGGCGGTGGTTGCCATGGCGTACGCTGAGCAGAATGAGGCTAACATTGCTGAGGCCAAACAAAAAGAAGAGGAGTATGCCCAGATTCTGGAAGCACTGAAGCAGAGAGAAGAGGAGGTAAGATGTGATGAAGAGAAACCCCCCATGACATTTCAGGATAAAGCTGAATGTTTGTTTGTTTTTTGTCTTCACAGCAAGCGGCCAAGAGGGCGGCGCTCTTGGAGAATCAAGACCCCGCATCACAAAGCCAAGAGGAGCATACGAACATGGAAGGTACTCAGACTCACTGAACATACTGGGGTTATTGACTCTGGTTCTGCCACTCATAATAAGTCTTCAGGTTTCTTCTTGTAAAAATGATCCTTCCTTGGAACTAATCCAATGATGGATCACCAGATGTCTGAATTTGAAGTATTCAAAAAAATTTGCACCATTCAGTTGAGTTTACTTTACATGTTTCTGTAAGGATTCCGTACATGAAATTGGCTGAATTTACAGATTAAGAAAAAAAACTAATTGGTGCTCAGTGATGCATTTCACCTTACTCAGCAGCTTTGTGTTTCAGAGTTTGAGGATGACCAGAGACCATGTCCTCCATGCTGGTACATGTTTGCTAACATCTTCCTGAAGTGGGACTGTTGTGGCTGTTGGCGATGGCTGAAAAAGCTTCTGTATACTATCGTCATGGATCCATTTGTGGACCTTGCCATCACCATCTGCATTGTCCTCAACACTGTCTTCATGGCCATGGAGCATTATCCAATGACTGAGGAGTTTGAAGATCTTCTCAGCACTGGAAATTTGGTCAGTAACAGAGGAGAAACTGAGTCAAAGTCTACAGAGTAAGGTTGAGTCCAATGAGTTAATATTGCATTTTGGTGTAACATTTGGTAGAAGGTTGGCTTAGATGGGCTGAGGTTGAGTAACAGGGTCTGGTAACAGGTTAGGCTGGTGTTTTTCAATTCTGGTCCTCAGTTCCCGCTGCCCTGAATTAGCTGGTGATATTACTCCTAAAGAACCAAAGTAATCATTTTTTTGTCTGATGTCTGATCCCCAGGTCTTTACAGGGATCTTTACAGCTGAGATGGTTCTCAAACTTTTGGCAATGGATCCATATTATTACTTCCAGGTCAGGATTATATATCAATAAAAGTGGAACAGTTTTTATGTTGAGCAACTGCTCCAATGGTTACAGTCTCTTGTTTTCTTGGTTACAGGTGGGCTGGAACATCTTTGATAGCATCATTGTCACCATGAGTCTGGTGGAGCTAGGACTGGCTAATGTTCAGGGTCTGTCAGTGTTGCGGTCCTTCAGATTGGTCCGTTCATCACTTTCTCACCATGATTAAGCTGTGACCCCAGTTCTGTATATTTCTGTCCTCATATGTCCATCTTACCGTGTTATCTCCAGATGAGAGTGTTTAAGCTAGCCAAGTCGTGGCCGACTCTCAACATGTTGATAAAGATCATCGGGAACTCTGTGGGAGCCCTGGGGAACTTGACGCTGGTTCTCGCCATCATTGTCTTCATCTTCGCTGTCGTTGGGATGCAGTTGTTTGGAAAGAGCTACAAAGACTGTGTCTGCCGCATTGCAGAAGACTGTGAGCTTCCTCGCTGGCACATGAACGACTTCTTTCATGCCTTCCTCATCATCTTCAGGGTTCTGTGTGGCGAGTGGATCGAGACAATGTGGGACTGTATGCAAGTTGCAGGGGAACCTATGTGTCTGATTGTCTTCATGATGGTACTGGTGATTGGAAACCTGGTGGTAAGTCTGTGCAGAAAAACTCTTTCTAATTTGAGTTTGGTTGGTTTTTAAAAAGTTTCAAAACATGTTCCTGATCTTGTTTCAGGTCCTGAATCTGTTCCTGGCCTTGCTGCTAAGCTCGTTCAGTGGGGACAATCTTGCAGTTACAGAAGATGAAGGAGAAAACAATCTCCAGATTGCGATAAACCGGATCAGCAGGGGTGTAGCCTGGACCAAGGCCTGGTTCCTGAAACACATTTGGACTTTGGTGGGAAAGAAAACAAACGTGAACTCAGATGTGAATGGTGGGAGCAGACATTATTTGTTAACATATAAATATTAATATGAGGTTTGTTTTTTGCTCTTAATAGTTATTTTTGTCTTTGTACTTGAAATCAATGTTTTTAGCTGTACCCTGTGAAGAAGGTGAAAAATCAAAGGAAGTTTTAGCTCTGACAATCGTGAATTCTGAGCAGCCGATGGTTCAAGTTCCCAAAGTTGATCTGTCGTTCCTGAGCAGCTACTACCATAACATCACATGTCTGAAGGTCCCCATTGCTGAAGCCGAGTCTGATTTTGACATGCCTGAAAATGAAGATGATGAAGATGAAGATAATGAGGAGGATGACACAGAAGACGAGCTTTCACAAGTAAAATCTTGGGTTTTGGTTTCTGTTGAGGAATTTTATTTTCCTGCAGTAGTCCACCTTTTTTGTCACAGTGGATAAATTATGAAGTCATTTGAATGTTTTTAAAAAATAACAGTTTAATGTCAGGATCTGTCTATGCTCAGGGTGATGAGTCTTCGATCTGCAGCACTGTGGAGAGAGCTCCTGAAGTCCAAAAAATAGAAGAGGTAGAAGAAACTCCAGAGGACTGCTATACAGAAAGTAAGTGCACTGAGAAAAGCTGAAGTGTTGTATCCATTTAATTGAGGATGTATAGGACCTAGTGTGTCAGCTACAGAAGAATATTAAGTTTTCAGCAGCCAATGGCCCCTTCAAGGAAGGTTTCACAGCTACACAGAAAGAAATGGAGAACAAAAAGATAAAAAATTGATATAATAGCAAATAATGGAAAGTTCCTCTTTGCCCATCTACACTGCAGTCTTCTACATCAACTCCCCATGCTGCCAACTTCAGAGGTTCTCTGATGTCTCTCCCATAGCTGGTTTCATCATAGACTCAGAGTACAGACATTGGACTCAGGACTTTGTGAACTGGTGTTAGTGGAACCATCTCCTGATCAATGCGGGGGAAATCCAAGCTGGTGGTGGACTTCCACAGGCGCAGACCTACCTAAATAACACCGATGAAAATCCAGGGACTGGACATTGAGTTAGTTGACTCTTATAAGTACCTAGGTATTCACCTGAACAATTTTCTATAGCTGCGGCCATGTTTCTATTTGGGACTACGGTTCTTTTGGTGATGCTCTGTTTTATTTTTGGGCCAAACATACTTTTTGGATGACCCAGAAACTTGAAGGCTGAAACTAAAAGGGTATGCACAGTTATGATCAAACAAACTGGGTTGTTTTTCAGTTGACTTGTGTAAAGTAAATGTTCTGAAGTTATTTCAGCACATTTTTGCATGAAAAACAGCTGGAAACAGGAGTGTGTAAACATCATACATTAGGCGTCCATTCAGTCCCATGAACACTACTATGTTTGAACTGTATGGGTTTCTATTGCAGAGTGTTACAATCGCTGTCCCTGTCTGGATATAGACACGACCCAGAGCAAAGGAAAGATCTGGTTTAATTTCAGGAAAACTTGCTTCACCATCGTAGAGCACAACTACTTCGAGACATTCATCATCTTCATGATCCTGCTGAGCAGTGGAGCTCTGGTAAACTCTATCCCACAATATTTAACATACTAGCACTAACTCAAACCATAATTCCTTGTTGATGTGTTGATGTTTTTGACATCTTAGGGTTTTACTCTGAGATGTTTTATTGGTTGGTTCAATGGGGCTGAGCAGGTCTCAACAAACTAATCTGATGGTTGGGTTGACCATCTGTGGACTACAGCATGGCTGACAGTGTGACTACTAACATGGCTGCTAAACATACACAGGTGAGATGATTTGACTCTATTAACCCTTTCAAAACAAAAAGAGTAATATGAATGACTAACAAAATAACCTTGTTTGGTAACTGGAAGGTTGCACCTTTTACTCTGATTATTTGATAAAAGACTGAGTCCCATCTTATCCCATTATTCGAAATTATACAACATACTTCAAGCATTTTTCAAGCCTGGAGAGCTTTTGACAAAATTAAATTAAGTTTCATATAAAAAATATTAGTGTCTGAAAAGTTTTTCACATTTTCACTGATATTTTGACAGTTTATCATTGGTGATGAGCTCAGTGGTTAGAGGTTGAACAGTCTCCTTGCCATCACCCTAATCTCACTGATTAGAGTGAAAACTTGAATTAAGATTACAGCAGACCCTTCCTATTTGCAATTTCTGTGTGTATTTTAGACCTAAGCTGTAAGAGGTATGAATAATTTTGAGCCTAACTGTACTGATACATTTTAGAAGAGTCTTTATTTTGTAACCTTGGCAAACAGGATTATCTCTTAATTTAAGCTTAAATTAATATCATCTGGGCTTCTCAACAGGGCTTGGTACCATTTTTCAGAACATTGGCCTGATAGTACATCCCCAACTCTGATGTATCGAGCTGGGAAAGCATTTATAATATTCAATCCATTTCACAAACACCTCTGTCAGTACTATGAAGATTATGAATATTAATTCATGACATATTAAATGATGAAGGTTTATCCATTAAAAACTCCAAATATTGTTGACAGGCCTTTGAGGACATCTACATTGAGCAGCGCCGGGTAATCAAGATAATTCTGGAATATGCAGATCAGGTTTTCACCTACGTGTTTGTGGTGGAGATGATTCTCAAGTGGGTCGCTTATGGATTCAAGACCTACTTCACCAATGCCTGGTGCTGGCTGGACTTCCTCATCGTAGATGTAGGAAACTGATTAATCCTGCATAATTACTCCTTCGTATTGCCACCGAAAGTCTTCATGTAAAGGTTTAGCTCATCAACACGTTTTTCAGGTGTCTCTGGTGTCACTGACAGCAAACATCCTGGGATACTCTGAGCTGGGAGCTATCAAGTCTCTGAGGACTCTAAGAGCATTAAGGCCCCTCAGGGCCTTGTCTCGCTTTGAGGGCATGAGGGTAAGATTGGCAGGTTAAACAGTGACAGATGGATAGGCATCTGTCTTGTTTTTGGTTAGCATTTCACTCTCTACTGTTGTATCTTTTGGCCTGTAGGTGGTGGTTAATGCACTGGTTGGTGCCATCCCCTCCATCTTCAATGTGCTGCTGGTCTGTCTGATCTTCTGGCTCATCTTTAGCATCATGGGTGTGAACCTGTTTGCAGGGAAGTTTTATTACTGCTTCAACGAAACATCAGAGGAGTATTTCTTTCCTGAGGAAGTCAACAATAAAACCCAGTGTCTCGATCTGATTGAGAAAGGCTTCTCCGAGGTCCGTTGGAAGAACACAAAGATCAACTTTGACAACGTTGGGATGGGCTACCTGTCTCTGCTGCAAGTGGTCAGTAAGAAGGCCAACATTAAGGGATTTATACTGTTTTTTGGTTGTTGTTGTTTTTTTTACCAGTTAACATTCACATAGCTTTAAATTTGTAAAATAAATTGTACATTGTTTTGTTTAGGCCACATTTAAAGGTTGGATGGACATCATGTATGCAGCAGTGGACTCCAGAGAGGTCAGAACTTCTCATATTGTTACTGGTACAGTTTCTGGTCTTATTAATCCTAGTGTAGCTAGGAATTGAGTTTTTAATGATGTTGATGCTGTAACCAGCAGGTTTCCTAGTCCCGGAACTGGGAAAAACTGTTGCTGTTATCCTGTGAGATGTAACTATGTTTTCTCTGCATACTGAGATTTCATCCTTCTTGGTTTAGGTGGAGTCCCAGCCAATGTATGAGGACAACTTGTACATGTACATGTACTTTGTCTGCTTCATTATCTTCGGGTCCTTCTTCACCCTCAACCTCTTCATAGGAGTCATCATCGACAATTTTAACCAGCAGAAAGCAAAGATAAGTTTCTTGTCAATGACCCTATATTGAGTAATTTTCTGTTTCCCTCTATCAGCCATTTAATATTTATGTTTGGCTGTTTACCTCGGAGGAACAGACATATTTATGACAGAAGAACAGAAGAAATACTACAATGCCATGAAGAAACTGGGATCCAAAAAGCCTCAGAAACCTGTTCCCCGGCCTACAGTAGGTTCAAGGACCTTCTGTAGAACTTAAATAAACCAAGCCTGTAAATATTAGTATGACGGATGTTGAACAACTCTATTTCTGTTTCTGTCTAGAACAAGTTCCAGGGTCTAGTCTTCGACCTTGTGACCAAGCAGTTTTTTGATATCCTCATCATGGTGTTGATCTGTCTCAACATGGTGACGATGATGGTGGAAACAGATGAGCAGAGTCCTGAAAAGGAAAACATCCTGTACTGGGTCAACCTTGTCTTCATTGTCATTTTCAGCACAGAGTGCTGTCTGAAAATGATCGCTCTACGAAAGCACTACTTTAGTGTCGGATGGAACATATTTGACTTTGTAGTCGTTATATTGTCCATTGTTGGTGAGGAGGAAGCAGATTAGATGGTTTTGTTATGTCTAACAGAACATTTTTAAAAGCTTCCCCATTTTTTTCTTCCTTTTCAGGCCTTCTTCTTGCTGATATCATTGAGAAGTACTTCGTTTCTCCCACTCTCTTCCGTGTGATCCGACTGGCTCGCATTGGGCGGATTCTTCGTCTCATTCGTGGAGCTAAGGGAATTCGAACACTGTTGTTTGCCTTAATGATGTCTCTTCCTGCCCTCTTCAACATTGGCCTCCTTCTCTTCCTCATCATGTTCATCTTCTCCATCTTTGGGATGTCTAATTTTGCTTACGTGAAGAAGGAAAGCATGATTGATGACATCTTTAACTTTGAGAGCTTTGGGAACAGTATGATCTGCCTGTTTATGATCACTACATCAGCTGGATGGGATGGACTGCTGAATCCCATCATGAACACACCTCCAGACTGTGATCCAGACTTTGAAAACCCAGGCACATCTGTCAGAGGAAACTGTGGCAGCCCGGCGGTGGGCATTGTCTTCTTTACTTCATACATCATCATGTCTTTTCTGGTGGTGGTCAATATGTATATCGCCATTATCCTGGAGAACTTTAACGTCGCCACAGAGGAGAGCGCCGACCCACTTTCTGAGGATGACTTTGATATGTTCTATGAAACCTGGGAGAAGTTTGACCCTCGAGCTTCGCAATTCATACACTACAGGTGAGTCCTAGCAGGTGAATGACCTCCTGTGAGACTTGGCTTCTTGTCCTGGTGAACCTGATTGTAATCTGATGTGTTTCGCAGTGAGCTGTCAGACCTCTGTGATACTCTACAGGATCCTATGAGGATTCCCAAACCCAACACCATCAAACTGATGCAAATGGACTTGCCTTTGGTTCCCGGAGACAAGATCCACTGTATGGACATCCTGCTAGCTCTCACTGCAGAGGTAATATCACCCATATTATCTTTTTTCTTGGAGACGTATGTAGTGTTTTTCCACAAAAAGAACACTCTGTGTAGTTACGTTCCTGTGCCTTTGAATGTTGGTGTTTTGTTAAGAGCCCACATCTACTTCCATCCGTTGTAGGAACATCATCAACACATAAAAAGAGCATAGTAGAAAAATCCACAAAGTACGGTGTTTCCATCTACATGCTTAGCTGAAGAAAGTTGCTTTGGGTGTATTCTCATTCTTTATTTTGGTTGATTACAAGCGAGACACGTTGAGACATGTTGATCTCATTCTTTTGCAAACACAAGCGGCCAAATCGAGTTTCCTCTGCAGAGTGTCTCGCCTCTCAGAGATAGGGTGATAAGCCTGGTCATCTGGAAGCACCTGAAGGAGACCCTGAGAAAGACACAGGACACATGGAGGGGACTATGTTTCTTGGTTGGCCCAGGAATGCCTTTGGATTCCTCCGAAGGTGCTGGCCCAAGTGGCTGGAGAGAGGGAAGTCTCGTCCTCATTGGTTAGGCTGCTTCCTCCACAACCCAACACCAGATAAGCGGTAGATAACAGATGGATAAACATGTCGATTTTAGTGTTATCTGAACCCAAACCAGCAGGGCTTGGGGGCTGCAGATCAGTCCACTGCAGCAGTTAGCAGTGGGTCTCTTGGTTCTCTTGTCATTCCAGGTATCTTAAAGTCATAAATGTGCCACTTCACCCCTGCCACCGACACTCACAAAGTTGATCAAACCTACTAGCTGATCTGCCTTGTCTGTCTCTTTGGGTTTTGAAGAAGTATTTGGTAGAACCAATTCTTTGGACAGATGTGGTTAGGATTAAAGACCTTTTCCGCTTACGGTCATCCGTATCAAGTTTTAACTTCTAGTTGGTCTGGATTTCTGGTTAAAACTCTCTCAACAACAGAATTAAACTACAGTAACAATTGAAGACCAAAATGTGTGAGAGATCTTTGAACACCTCTGTATACATATTTTCTTTGAATATTTCCAGGTTTTGGGTGAATCTGAGGCAATGGATGCTCTAAAGGCCACAATAGAGGATAAGTTCATGGCCAACAACCCTACAAAGGTTTTATCCTTATTTTTTTGTCATAGTCTAAGTCAGGGGTCTTCAATGTTTTCTCAGCCCTAGTTATGGCCTAATAATGACACTGCCATTCACAAACTGTTATTTGGCAAAATGTTCAGAGCTAGAATGTGTGTGTCTACCTGAAATACATTATTTTATGCCTTTTTTATCAGTTTGTTTCATGTTGGATTCATGTGATGTATAACGTTGAATGAAAAAAAACAAAAAGAATCTCAGTGACCTCACTAAGGGATCTGACAAACACATTGAAGACCCCTGAAAAAAATACCAATATTATCTCCAAAAGATAGCACTTGTACAATGAAAGTAACTGCATTTAATGTGGTTATTCATTTTTGCAGAAGTTGTATGAACCAATCAGCAACACTTTGCGTAAGAAACATGAGGATCTGGCAGCAACAGTGATCCAGAGAGCCTACAGGAGATGTCTTCTGCAGCGAGTGATCAAACTGGCGTCCTACAAGTACAGAGAGAGGACAGGGGGACAGCGAGACAATCTGTCTCCACCAGAGACGGAAGGATTTCTCTGTAAACGAATGGACCAGCTGTATGGAGACAGTGAGACGGCTCTGGCTGCTCCAGCTGAGGACCGGACTGTCCAGGCGGAACCACAGAGGGACATTCTCCTCCACTCTGCTCCTCCGCACAGCGACTGCAACTTCCTACACGATGAGAGCCTGACAGAGACGATGATGCAGCTGCAGACAAACTCGAATCAGGAGTGTTTCCTGTCAAAGGAGCAGCAGACTGAGTAACCCAGATGACTCTTCTCTGTTTAACAGAGCTTTCTTCAGTTCAGTTTGACACGAAAACCCACAAGGAAAGTGACTCTGGGTTATTAATGCCACAAAAGAAACAAATAATGTTTCCAAACAGCTCTTCACTTCACTGCTCATCACTTCAAAGCCAAGACATCTTTACTTATCCTTCCTTGTTTCTTTCTTCTGATTGGTGGATATTGATGTGATGAAAAGCTGAAGAAACCAATGGCTGCTAAAATTGAAGTAGCAAACAGCCATTCAGAAAGGTTTGGATTAGGTGAAGAAAGTGGTTATGTACCATTAGCCCGCCAGTGGAGCATCGGATAGTTGGAGCTTTGGAGCATGGGCTGCATGAACGCCCACTTTTACCATGTCACTCATATTCACTCATATAACCAGGCTGCTTAATGCAGAACCTAAATGTCTTAAATTTACGAGTAAAGTCAATTAATCTGCTGGACAGCAGGAGATCCAGGCAGTGGGTTAATCAGCAGGTGTTTGGGATTTTGTTCCGTACAGTAACGATGAAATGAACACAGAGAGTTGTGACAGCTCACACCTGGTTTAAGGTGGCACCTCCTTCCACCAGCAGACACCCAGCCCTGCATGAAGGAGGAAAACTCCTCCATCAGTCCCCAAGTCGTCACCCAGCAGACTGCAAACTGGAGGTGACAATAACTGACTGCGATGTCATCACAAGTGTAAAATGTGGGTCATTCGTAGCTGAATAAAGGTTAAACCAAAGGATGTTACTGTGAATGTTATGACAATGTTACTGCGTTTTATTCTTCCTTCCTTTTTCTTTCTTGCTTCAGTGCACGAATCTGGACTCAGATTAAACGTTTGTACTTTTGTTCTACAAAGGAATTCAACCCTTTTCCCCCCCTATGAAATAATGTTGCATCATGCAATGTTGACTTTAACGGATGAATCAGTATATTTGAAAGATTTCACCTGCAATAACATCTATGCGATTAAAGCTTCAGATTGTATTGAGCATGATTTCTGGAGTTTTTGTTTAAATATTTTTGTGTGCATCATGTACCATGGCATGGATGCTGAACCAGCATTTACTTTCATCTCTGACCTGAACTCAAGTTTAAAATAATAGTTTTATTTCTGACTAAAGGTACTGTTAAATAAGATTCTGTCCAACACAAATGTGCCGGAGCTGGTCTGGTAAATCAGTGGAGGAGGTTATGTTCTTCTGGAGAAACACAATCTGTGAAGGAGCTGCAGACAAACTGCAGCTTCTGCAGTTTGTCTGCAGGGGCAGTATTATGTATTTTCCAGGAACATAGTACCATTTTATAGCACAACCAAGCAACAATGATGCTTTCGGTTGAAATGATATATAAAATATGAGTTGAAAGTAATTCGACTTTGCAACTTGACGCCTTAAAATTAGCCGATGTCTCCTTAAGAAGCTCCTCCTTCCAACACTTTAACACACAGCGCTACACCTGAAGAAACACACACTAGCCAGTGGCAGAGCCAGCTTGGAGCACAACATCCATATTTTCCAAATAATTCACAAATAAAATATTTTCTTGAAGTGAATAAATATGTGCCTGTATTTATGAATTCATGATAAGAACACAAACAACTTCCAGGTTGCATCAGCCTGGAGGAAATAAAACCTTTTAGTTGGGAACTGATGAGCACGTGGCTTCCTGTGTGTGTGTGTGTGTGTTTCTGTGTACACATCTAAGAAGACACACTAGCTAACCTCTCATGTTTCAGTCAGAGAAGCAAAGCTGAAGACGGCAGACAAACCCAGAGAGAGGAAGACGAGCTGGAAAACAGATCGATAGGTAACTGTCCTCCCAGGAATCGGATGTTTACCGGATTTAGTTTGGAAAAAGCAGAAGAAGGTAAGCTTGAGTCAAGTGTTTCAGATGGAAGCGAGGTGTGATATGAACCGTGTGTGTGTGTGCATGCAGAGCTGAGATTACACAGTGGGGTCAAACCTTGATCTGTTGGATGGGTTTTTGATGATTGTGGTTTCTAAAAACAGCTTCTCCACTTTCATCTGGAAACCTTCTCTCTGATTTACATCTCGTTTTAGGTCAAATCACTTGTTTTCCACAGGTATGGATTGTTATATTTACATTTTCTTGAAGTGAAAGTAGAAAAGCATCCCTGGTTTTAACACTAACCAGGAAGAACAAGTCCTGGCTCAGCTGTGCTCCTAATGAAAACTCCAATTTATGAAAGATGCGATTATATTTGGGCTTTATGTGAGATAATGTAACAGTGATTTAGAGCTCAAATGCAGCTGTTTAAGCACAAAAAAGGAAGGACTAATTATGAACTGAAGCAGACAATCAGAAACAAGCACAAAATCACACTGATATAAAAAAAATCTTACTGAAATGGATTCAAAATTACTGGGGAAGTTAGTGAAGGGATGCTAAAACCAGAGTTATGAGCTTTTCTTTCCTTGTACCAGTTAAAAAGTTGCATTTTGAACATCTGCAGATGTGAGAGGGATGCATGATTAAATCCCGTCAAATGAGAGTTACAGTGACCCAGTCGTGAAACAATAAAAGCATAAAATAATGTCTGTCAGACGGGCTTCCTCAATTAAAAAAAGAGGACTCAACCACAACACTGACTGGGCATTATTTTCACACCTTGTCATGAAACCTGGTTAGGGCTGGTGAGATCTTTCCAGGACTCGCAGAAAACAGGACGTCAAGAAACCTGAGTGGAAAAGTAATCTTGCATTCTGATTTAATGATGATTGAAGTGTGATATTTTTGTTTCAGCATTGTCATCTAATGAATATAATCTGATTTAAGTAATCTTGTATTCTGATTTAATGATGATTAAAGAAGGTTATTTTTGTTCCAGTACTACTGAATATAATCTGATTTAGTGAAGAAGATGGTGTAACAGGTAATGATTGCCTGATTCAGTTGTAGCAGATAGGAATTAAGTTGCTGGAGCTGAACTTATACTGTGTCATGAGCTCATGGGTGGAGCAGTGAGAGGCTGCAGAATAAACAATGTAGAAGCCTAAATTCAATTTTAGTTCATTCAGACCTTTTGGATAAATTATGTTTATATTTCTTATACTAATTTGTTACATTGGATTACTAAGGTCTTGTAAATTTGCATAAGTAATTGGAGTTAAGGATTTTAGGGTGTGGCCAGGCAGAATCAGTTTGGCAGTTGGAGTGGAGCCACACAGTTTTTTTACCTCTCTCTCTCGGGACTCTTTTGTTTATTATTTTGTGGAAAAATAACATTTGTACCGTTTTTATTTTGAAGTAAACCGTTAACTTTTATCAAGAGGACCCAGTTTGTTTGTTTTTTTGGTCGTTTTTTCGTCATCAAGTGGACTGAAGGGGAAGGACGGAGAGCGTCAAGCTTATGGCTTCATTATTTAGGAACCTACAAACAAGAAACAAGAGGTTAACAGTGGCCACAGAGTCTGATGACGCAGGCATCCATCCATGTTTTCTATGGAATCGGATGATACCAATCAACTGTTGCCACAGAGTCTGATGACAGGCATCCGTCACTCTTTTCCACTGAATCGGATGATACCGATAACCGCCCACTCTTAAAATAGAAAGCCCAGAAAGTATAAAGATTATGAGAAAGCAGAACCAGGCGTTCTTTGTTCCACAGTACTTGAGTCGGCACCACATGAGGATGCTGAATCAACGGAGGGCCGTGCCCTGAAACCCCGGGGAGGTGAAGACTTTGCACTGCTCAGTAAAGAACGAGATCTGTTAGCCCACATACCGGGTTTCTGATCAGGCAGGTGTCCTACGCTCAACCCAAGGATCACCACCATGCTACAGCAGACTTGGAGAACAGACGGAGATCACGGAGTGATAAGGAAATGAGTACAGAGGACAGTCAGCAGTTCAACTTCGTTATGTCCTAAAAAGGATCTTGCCACACCAGGACAGTATTTCAATTATAATTCCATTATTAATAGATGCTGTATGTTAATTTTCCCCTGCTAAAGCTTGCTAATAAAATGTTAAAGTCTGATCGATGTTGTGGACAGTTAAATTAATTGTCAATTTATGAGTTACTTCTTCTGATTAAAGTAAAATCAGTGGTCATGATTCTAGAAATTAGGGTTCTTCGGACGTTTCTTTGGTGTCTATAAAATAATGACCTTAGGATTCACGCCGAGTCTCTAAAATTTATCCAGACTGTAACAAGTGCACGTTGTTGAAAGAGAAAGAGCTACCGTTAACAGAAGCAGTTTCTGAAACTATGCAGTGGCAGGACTACTCAACTGACTGTTTCTTTAACTGAAAAGGGTCACAGCTTCTGGATAGGAGGTAGTCAGAATCTGGACGCATCTCTCCCGACGCCAGATTAAACAGATTGTTCTCTATATACTTAACTGGAGTAATACTCAGGAGTTAGAGACATTCCGGACCCGTTAGTTGGAGAGCTGGTTAGTAGTTAGTCAGTGAGGATGTAGGTGTGGTTAACTATTGCGCAATAACACCTAATTTAGTGATTTTGAATTTTTTTTAAATTAACAGAAGTCTTACAGCTGGAGTTCTATTTGTTAAAAACAAAGAGTGAACAGAAGAGGACCAAGAATTGACCCCTGAGGTATTCCAGAGGAAAGTTTGTATCTGGAAACTGATGTCTGAAGAAAGAAAGGTGGTTGTCTTCAACTCTGCTCCTCATTACTGACCAGAGGAAAAATTTGGGACACAGAAAATCATAAAAAAGACATTAGAAAACACAGCAAATAAAATGCTGCAGTCACAGAAAATAGAAGCAAAAACATACAACCAACATAAAAAAATCCCAAATAAAAATGTTTCAACCAGTGCAAAAAGGCAACCATAACAGATAGAAGCAAAAAGAAAAATGCAGAAACAAGAAAAAACAAGTGCAAGTACATAGTGATGCAAACTCGCTTTAAAAAACAGAAGTCCATATGTTTGCACCATTTGCCCTCCATATAGTGTTAAGCAGGAAACGGATTTAATGCAGTCCAATTCGGCCATTAACTACGATTCACTCCAACTCACTTATTCTGGTCAATTCAGTCTAATTGATGGAATACAATTAATCAGGGGAATTGTTCTGTTATCTCCAGGATAACCTAAATGCAAAATATACAAATATGTTAAGAAGTGGAAGTGCTTCTCAGCAGAAAGCTATCTGCTGAGAAGATAATAAAACAAGATTTAATTTTTAAAAGAGGGGCTCCTCTTGAAGGGGAAAGTATGGAGCTAGAACTAGTCTACATACTATAAGAGCTCAGATGTTTTTAGCAGTTGAGTTGTTTTCAATTTTCTGTTAACTGAACAAAACATTGATAACTTTCCCAGAATAATTTGTGTGTTCCAATAAAAAGACAAACGTTTCCTGTCTGACTCTAAATTCTTCCTGACATGAAGTCCCAAATGGAGTTTGAATAGAGTCTCGGAAGGTTTTTTTTTTTTTTGCTGTTTTTGCTCCAGCAGACCTAAAGTTTTATGCTTCAGAGCCAAAACTGATCTGGAGTCTCTCCAGCACACTTGTGATTGCAGCACAAAGTCTGTGTGAGTGAATGTGTGTGTGTTCCTGTTCGGCAGCAGTTCTACGCTGTGGATCGTTTCAATCCACAGAGATTTCCAAGGGAAGCTGGGGAAACAGGCATGGACTGTCAGAGTGTTTGTCTCTCACGCCACCTCGGAGGCAAATGCAGCAAAATCCAACTCCAGCATTTAGAGATGACAACCCTCCTGAGAACACCATCTGCAGCTGTTTGATACACATGGTGTTGGATCAGTTTGGCACAAATTCGTTGCTTGGCTGTTTAAACTGCAGATATTTGGCTTCAACAGATGGAAAGAGAAGGAGTTGACTGTGAATCAGTGGTTTTCTCCAGACCTCATCAAGCTGAAGGTTTGTTGGGAATCATTGCCTCTGATTTCCAGATTGTTTGACTAGCATGAGCATAAAGTTGTTAAAAGGCTTAAAGGGGTAAAATGGATTTAATTGTCAAAAAGACAAAACAGCGGTGTCAAAGTGGAGTCCAGTCAAACCACTAAACTGGTCCACACTTTGTCTGAATTGCTAGGTTTTTATGTGACGTGGTCATGTGATGTATCGTGACACAAGTCTTTCTGTATGGATCCTGGATGTTCTCCCTGTGCCTGCACCCGTTCTCTCTGGGGACTCCGGCTTCATCTCAGAAGACTTTCAGGTTAATTAGTCCTTAGGTGTGAGTGTGTGCATCATATATTGTAATTTGTCCTGGGTGTCTCAGTCATGCTCTTGTAAGCTGTCTCAGGTCTGTGTCTCACCCAGTGACTGCTGGAGATAGGAAGTCAATGGGTTGCATCACCATGGAAACAAGTTGTACTGTAAAGACCAAGGCTGGAAATGCCAAACATTTCTGACCTCGTCTGCCAGCATTCTGCCATCTGCAATTACTCTCACATGCATGAGTATGTGAAGCAATATCCCAGAGAAAAGGAACAGCTGTTCCCTTGAAGCATATTGGTGTTATTAGCATGTTCCCTCTGAGTGATGAGGAATGAAAATGGGCTTTCTATCCAGGGAGCAGAAACCCTTTCAGATTGTTTCTTCCAACTGGATGAAAGCTGCAGAGGTAAATAATTTAAATATAATTTTTAATGTAGCCTCATGTTTTTGCACTTGGCACAGCCTCGGTCCCCCATCCGCCTCTGATACACTCTAAAAAGAAAATAGTTGAACCAACTTAACTGAATTGCTTCTGTAGGTAACAAGCAATTCAATTAAGTTTATCCAACTTAATTTATTAAGTTTAACCAATTCAATATATTATAATCACCCAACTCAATTTAAGTCAGTCTTACTCAAATCATTTAGTTTACTTCAAAAATGGTAAATAAACTTAAATAACACTTTTGACCACTGAAAGCACATATTCACACATGTATTTAATGCTCAGACACTAGGCAACTTGGCATTAAGTACCCAGGGGACACATTAACATACGGCAGGAGGAAGCTGGAATCGAACTGACAACCTTCCAATTACAAGGCGACTGCTCTATCCACAGAGCCACGGTCGCTTACTGGGAATGTGTCCCTGTAAGCTTGAGTCATTGTGTCAGACATGGGACACTGAATTATTTCAAGTAAAGTCAAAGTAAAAAGGTCATTTAAGGAAAAGATTTGTGTATTTAGATGACACTATAAAAAGAGTATTAAAATTTAGCTTGGAACTTCTTAAAAGTTTGAGTTGACTTTCTGTAGAATTAAGTCAAAGAGATTTTAAATGTTTATTAGAACAAAATAAATGATTTGAGTAAGAATGACTTAAATTTGTCATGTTAAACCCCCTTATGAATTAAGTTATAAAAACTTAGCAAATTGAGTTGGAAGAACTTAATGAATTCAGTTGGATGATCATAATAAATTGAGTTGGTCAGACATAGGATACAAAACTGGCATTGAACTTAATTGTTTTAAGTAAAGTCAAAGTGAAAAGTTCCTTTAGGTTAAAGATTTGTAAGTTTTGAGTTAAATGAACACAAAAAAGTAAGTTGTCATAACAAAGCAAAATAATTAAGTGAAATTAATGTAAATAAGTCCATAAGATGAACTGCAGCCCAAAAACACTTTTTAGAGTGTAGCTGATAGCTGTCCTCTGGATAATTTGATATTATGCAAGCAAAGAATTACTAATATTAAATTATTTCTTAAAGATCCAGGACCACCGAACTAACAGGTGTGAAAACAAGTCCAAAGACCTTTGACTCGGTTCAGTTGGAATGAAGTCTGGTACGTAAGTCTTGGAAACCGCTCCAAGACAGGAAGTGGACTAAAGCGCAGGGCTTTTGGAATCTATAGGTGCTCTTCTGACATTTGGATAAAGCTGCTTTTGTTCAAGGAGAGGCTGCAGAGAGGGAGCTGAATGAGAAGAGGGAGTTATGGAGTCGTAGACTGAGGATCTTCCCACAACTCGTATCCAAGTAGAAGGGTGGAAGTGAGATACGGCCAGAACAGATGGAAAGAAACTCCATATAAGGCAGCAGAATTAGGGATTGAGAAATCAGCACACTGCCTTCAATTCTCGTATTTCACTGTAATCCCTCCTTTATGTTAATCATGCATATTTACTCATATAAAAGCTTAGAAAACAAATGTTAGACAGACTTCTAGACTTGATGACACTTTTTAAGGAGGTGGCTTTTAAGGACGTTCCTGGAATTGTAACAATTTTTTGTTTTTGATAAATTTTCCTTCATTTTTCTTTGTATATCTACAAATCCTTGCATCTAGGAGTTTTGTTTGGTGAGTGTCCTCTGCGCTACAGTTAAAGAAAGGTTCTGGTTCCTGACTGAGTCATTATTAAAGGGCATTTGCAGGGATGTTGAAGTGATTTATCTTAAACTCCTACTGGAATCAGTGCAGGCCTCAGGTGGGGCAAAAGGAAAATGTCTAAAATGTTTAATAAGAATAAAGGGGGGCAGACTAGGAGCTCCAGGATGAAAACTGCATTAAATGATTCAGATGTCTGATGTAGCACATCAGAGAAAAGCTCTGACTTAATCTCTGAGCAAGATTATTTACCTTGATTTTGGAAAAATCTAGCTTGTAATGGCGCATGACAGGGTTTTTTTAAGCTACCATGGGGGCAGACTTGGGTAAAATTTTACCAGAACTCAATCTAAGCTTTCTTTGATAAACTACTAATTCTGCTTTGAATGAATTAATTTATTTGAATGAATTATATTTATTTTGAACATGATAGAGGTATAAAATCACACACGACAAGGAATGCAAAAGATATTTTTCTACTACAATAATCTTAACAAGCTCGAAAAGGAGCAGGAAGAAGTAAAACTTATGAACTCTTACCCCATAAACTCATGTCATATTTTCAGATGGACCCTCATTAGTAAATGAAAAAATAACAAACATAGGCTAATTAAGTTTCCATTTTATCTGGATTTACAGTGTGTGGGTACATCCATACCCACACAAACTTATATGCATTAACCTCAATTTACACATTAGTGCCAACTCCCGCCCATATTTCTGTATGTTGTGAAAATGACCTCTTATATTTCCTTTTAAACTGCATTAAATTCTTTACTTTGTTTTAACTCCTCATTTAACTTTTTCCATAATCCAACTGCATCAAAACGTGAATTGAAATACAACTGCATCAAAGGTCCTGTAGCTGTTTCTGAAGAGAAGCTGCTCATGGGAGAAAACAGAGCAGGAAGGCTCATCGTTGGTGAACATCTGTTGTAGATCAGAACAACTGAAACTTTGTCTTCTTGAACGCTCAACTCTCTTGTCATTTCCTGTTATTTTGAAACAGAAGGGATCTGCAGTGATTTCACAATCCACATCTGGCCAGAGAAACAAAATTCCTATTTTCCTCACTCACAATCCTCACTGCGACTTCTGGCAGAGACAAAGAGAGCTCTTATATTCCCAAATCATATGAAATTCAACAATGTTCTCTGTGTCACCAAGTGTTTTTATTCAAGTGGGTGCTGTACTGTACTGTCATGAGACACAAATGAACCAATCACACCAAAACTGAACTGACCGTACGAGAACCGGACTGCATATCAGACCAAACCCATCAGAACTGTACCTATTACTCGAATACTGGACTGAGTCCACTACACCAAAACTGGAAGAACCAGTCGACAGATCTCTAAGAACTGCATGTCTTAGATTACATGAGTGAACAAGAGTTCACCTGATTCATCTGATCACCCGATCAGATGAATCGGGTGATCAGTGTTATCTGTGATCCAGGTGACAAAGGACCAAAGCATCCCCTCCTATTGGCTGCAACAGCATCAGTAAAATTATCCACTCCTTTCCTTCCTTAACATTTAAAAATTTTTTGACGTCCTTAGATTCTTATTTCTTTTGTTCAGTTGTGTGGAAAACAGCACCAACATTTGTATTATGGGATATTTTAAACCCTTTCCGTTCCTTTTGTCAGGAGGCGGTTGCTAGGCAGCACAGAAGTTCGGGTGGTACTCGAAAAATGTCAATATGGCCCCTCTGCTGCCCCCAGTTGGTACGGAGGTGTTTAGACGCTTCACACCAGCCTCATTGGAGGAAATTCAGCGTAAGCATGAAGCTGAAGCGAAGCAGCAGCAAATCAGAAAGGAAAAGAACATCAAGGTATGGATAATCAATCGATCAGAGTACTATGACAATAACAAACCTTAATCCTGATCTGACTGGTTTCTCTCTTACAGATAGCAAAGAAGTATCTTCCTAAACCAGCAGGTGACCTGGAGGATGGGAAGCCCCTCCCGTTGTTCTATGGAGACCGGGCCCAGGAGTTTCTCAACGTCCCATTGGAGGACATGGATCCCTTCTACCAATCACACAAGGTGGCACTCTCCATTGAAATTTTCTGAGAATTCAGAAATAGTTCATCTCAAAGTCCTAAATGTTCCATACCTAATAGAGCATTTCTGCACTGAAGACTGATCATTATTGTGTGGCTTTCTAGTGTGTGCATGTCCTGACAGAAAATAAAAGCACAAAACTCAATCTTTAGTTTTT